GAGTAGAAAAAAAAAAAAGCCCATTAATGATTCCTGTCCCTCAGGAAGCACTTCGTCTGCAGCTGAAGAAAATAAATGAAAACATATTGGGCAATGAGAGAAACAAAGGGAATTCAGAGAAGACTGTACGAGGAAACACTGTATGACTACCACTGGGAATATAAGGGGAGGCACTGACCAAGGAAGTAAGAGAGCAGATGCTGGGCTACCTGGGGGGCTCAGTCAGTTAAGTGTCCGGCTTTGGCTCAGGTCATGATCTCACTGTCCATGGGTTCGAGCCCCGTATCAAGATCTGTGCTGATGGGGCGCCTGGGTGGCGCAGTTGGTTAAGCGTCCGACTTCAGCCAGGTCACGATCTCGCGGTCCGTGAGTTCGAGCCCGCGTCGGGCTCTGGGCTGATGGCTCAGAGCCTGGAGCCTGTTTCCGATTCTGTGTCTCCCTCTCTCTCTGCCCCTCCCCCATTCATGCTCTGTCTCTCTCTGTCCCAAAAATAAAAACGTTGAAAAAAAAAATTAAAAAAAAAAAAAGATCTGTGCTGACAGCTCAGAGCCTGGAGCCTACTTTGGGTTCTGTGTCTCCCTCTCTCTCTCTGCCATTCCCCGGATCACTCTCTGTCTCTCAAAAATAAATAAAGCATTTTAAAAAATAGAAAATAATGAAAAATAAAAAGAGAGAGCAGATACTGTGCGTGAAAGCAAGGACTATAACACAGAGGACAGGGGCAGAGGGAGCATGACCAGACAATAAAAATAAATAAATGAATCAAAAGCCCACTGTGTGTTGTATGCTATTCCACACGTCTTACAGCTATCTTAGACACCTCAGAAAGCCTTACCAGGAGGTATTACCATCAGTTACAGATAGTCAATTGAGGCTTAATCCATTGAGGCCAAACCACAGAGTCTATAAGTAGTGAAGCTAGAATTTGAAACCGGTTTATAAGGACACCGAAACCTGTGCTCTTAGCTACTACCCCAGAATGATTTTACCAGGGTCATTTCATGGAAGGCCTAGCAAGAAGGTAAACAGGGGTTATTGGCAATAGGCAAATGCAGTCAACCCTTCTGGGTTCTTGAGGAAGGAAGTGAAATGCTAAAAGCACCTTTTAGAGCAATTCCTCGGATCTTGACACGGAAGAATCAACAGAAATTAGTTATGACTAAATCAATTAGACCCAGTAGAAGATTGTGGGCTATATCCAAGGTTTGACGTGTTCTGGTCTGAAACCCAGTGGTGGGTGTGAGAACAGAGAGCAATTGATGAGTCTAAAAACTAGTCTAAAGGAAGAAAAGAAAGACATGTTGACATTGGCTAAACAAATGAAGAAGGAAGAAAAGCCAAAGAAAATCTTAGAGAGAAATGGCAAAAAAAAAAAAAAAAAAAAAAAATTGACAAGATAACAGTAGAAAGGGAAGCAATCTCTATGAGAAGAAAGGGAGTTCAAGTTCCAATGTGTTCAGCTTGGGGCAATGGCAGGACGTAGGAGGAATGGTGTATCATGAGTATTGAGAAACCCTTGGATAAGAGACCATAGTAAGATGCCTGTGAAGGAACAGGAAATGTAAAACACCAGAGTGTCAGTAAGATAACTTATTTTGTTAAGTCTCAGAAGCTTCTTACAGGGAAAAATACAACAGAAGTACTTAATAAATAATGAGAACACTTCCCCTAGCTGCCACTTTGCCTGAATTTCTCTTCACTTCATGCTTTCCTTTTAGTAGGCACTAACTGCCAGCCATTCGTGTTGCAATATTACCTCCCACTTCTTAATTTCTGCCCGTGTTTGTTTGTTTAGATGTGCCTATGCCTTTAATCCTGCTTTTCTTCTGTGCTGTCTCAAATAATAAGAACAACAATGACTGGAATCTACCTCTTTCGGCCTATCCAGCAGTGATTGGAGTGATATCCTCCTATACCATGTTATTTCATAGTAAACATGACATTAAACTCAATTACATCGAAGATTAAGTTCTTGAAAGTCAGCCTTTCTAATGAGACTGACCTCATAACTCTTTGCATGACCTTTGTTGAATCACTTTGGGTCAAGGCTGAGCTACTATTAAAACAAACAAACAAACAAACAAACAAACACAACCTCAAAATATAGGGGCTCAACTACATGGAATTTTTTTTTCACCCATGTCATAGCTCAATAGCAGTTAAGGTCTGGTGGGATCGGTCTGATATCGTCACTGCATAGCTTCTATGTTAGAGATTAAGGAGGCTGTTCCAGTCACTGGAAAGGGGGCAAAAGAAAGTAGAGGGCAATAAGCTTCTTTTTCCCAAAGAAGTGACACAAAATGTACATACATCACTTCTGCTCATACTTTATTGCGCTGGACTGAGTCATGTGACTCTGGGCTAGCTCAAATAAAGCTGGGAAATATAGCTTCTAGCTGGGTGGTCTTGTACCAGCTACATGATTGTAGAGGAGAGCAGGCAGTTCAGGGCTTTATTATTAAAAAGAAAAAAGGGAGGATGAATTTGAGGGAACAATTAGCAGGCCCTACTACATCTGGGTTTAGAGCCCCACTCCTCATTATGCTGTTCTCTTCATTTAACGAGACCTCCCTCTCCAGGTGTCCAAATAATTTTTAAAACAGCTAATCTATTCCGTAGTACTGTTTTCAAATGGAACATATTACTATTTAGAAGAGCTGAGGGGAGTGGCTCAGTCGGTAGAGCGTCCGACTTCGGCTCAGGTCACGATCTCACAGCTCCTGAGTTCCAGCCCCACGTCGGGCTCTGTGCTGACAGCTCGGAGCCTGGAGCCTGCTTCAGATCCTGTGTCTCTCTCTCTCTCTCTCAAAAATAAACATTTAAAAAAAAAAAAAAGTGAAGGGAGAACTGCTTCAATTAGCAGTTGGAAGTGAGGGGCCAGAATTGGCATCCGAGTCTCCTCTTTTCCCTCTGCATCTCACTACACAGGAGACCCTTGATTCTAAGAAATAAAATTTGGAAACTGCCCTCACAGAGTTGTTTTAATCAAAAAGGAATGTGTTATGCTTCCTAAGCAGTCAGACCCAACCAGTGAAAATTACTCTCTCCCATTTAAATAATGGAAAGTCCTCTTCAAGTCCTGATTTACATCCATCTTGTCAGCTAAGTGAACAAGCGAGCTCAGAGCCATTTTTCCAGTCTGCTCTGCTAAGCTTCTGACCTTGCAGAACACCCTGCCAAGTGTGAATTAATAATCACTTTGATGCAAAGGGTAAAAGGGGAGGATATTTCTGTGATTCTCCCCACAAATCTAATCTTGACAAATGGAATCGCATTATGTCTCATTAGCTAATAAACTATCTAGATTGAAATTGCATGTAGGGCAAGAAATGAACTCAAATTATGCCTAACACTCCTGGAAACAACTTCTCATCTTCATTTCAAGAATAGAGGAGATAAAAAAAAAAAATCCCTGAGGAAAAGTCAACAGAACTGAAAACAAAACACGAAGAAGTTTTCATTTTAGCCACTAATCCCATAGCCTTCCATTACTGAAATCTAAGAAAACATGGCAAACACCTTGGCTGGGGGGGGGGGGGGCCCGCCTGGGTTGATTATTTCAAGTCCTCTGAGCCAAAACCAGGCCATGAAGATCATCAGGGCTTTCTATCAAAATCAGAATATTTAACAGCTTTCTTTCTTCCTTTCTTTCTTTCTTGTTTTTGTTAGCATTGTACTATAGTTTCTCATTTATTCACCCGTTTTCTGATGAAAGTTCCCAGTGAGAGAATCTCTTTCTTGAAATGCCCATGTTTGGGGTGCAAATCATTTACATTTCAAATTTCTGAATGTGGGGGTAAGTTATATCCAGCTACTTATTAATAATATTCCTAGGATTAGTTCAAAATGGGTCATATCAATACTTGTGAAAGGAAATTCTTTGCAGGACAATCTCATGGTCTGAATTAACAAAATGCACATGCTTTATCACAGAGTGACTTTGTCATGGCCTAAAAGCACTCGTATTTAGGGTATTAATACTGTATAGAATTCAAACAGAAAACTCAAAATACTGATGCACTTTATATTTGGAAGAGTAAAGCTGCTCCGTAAAACAAGAGGTCTCTTGTTTTATAAAGAAATAACTTCCAAGATATACTGACATTTTTATTGTCTTACTAGTGATTACTTTGCTCAAAAGAATTACAGAAGAATAATATTTAGGATTCATAATGAAACACACATTAGAGCATCTATAATTTAAGTTTTGTTTCAGTTTCAATTCTTTTCATTTGCACAGGACCTGATGGCAAACTCATTCCAGAAAATTTTAGAGTTTCAGAGATTGCTTTACATGTTCTATCAGATGATATTTAGATTATCAAAATACTGTTTTGCAAATCCTAGTCCTTGAAGAGTTATGAATAACCACTTGTATTCAGGAGAGAGAATCCGTGAAAACAAACCTGACGATACGAATGCAAAGTGTTATTTTTCCAGCAATTCATATTCTAGGTGCCGGATCAAACCAGTAATTAAACTATCTGAGTCTTACAGAGACAAAATCAGATTAAAATCAAATTATGGCACCTGGTCAAATACTTTCCCAAATAAAAACAAAAAGAGAGTCGATAATCCCTTTTTAAAGAGGCCAGATGCTTCAACTCACAAGATAAACAGCATTTAGCAAGTCCCAGCTCAGAGGCAGTACCTGTTCCAGCGGTGCGATGGCCCTCACAGTAAACTTCCCTTAGCCTGTATCTTTCTTGTTGTCTTTAGTCTTTTAAGTGTGTGTATGTATATGCGCGCACACACGTATAATAAGAGTCTGTTTTTAAGTTTATCTCTGCATGAAATTATAGCTTGTCATTCCAGTAGAATACTCTAAACTTCTACAGGATAAGGGCAATGTCTTCCTTATTGACCTCAAATCCCCAGTGATTGGCACAAAGCAGGTGCTCAACGAGTATTTTAAAATGAATAAGTGAATGAATAAACTAGTGCCAGGATTTTCACTCCCACACCCTATAAAAACAACTTTTGTCAGGGTCACCAATTACCTTTATGTTGCTGACGTCAGCCGTCCATTCAGCGTCCATGCGGTTTTGACACAGCAGCCCATCTGACAAAGTTGGTCGTCTCTTCTCTGAGATCTTCCTCCTACAACACTGATCCCTCTTTTTCAATCTGTTTTTGTCAGTTTCTCTTCTCCTCCCCGAGTTTTCATGTCAGACAGCTTGGATTCGGGGGTGGTCCTCTTTTTCTCTATTCCTCAGTGAGCTCACCTAATCTCATGGCTTTCAAACGACATCACTAACTTTCAGATTTATATCTACAGCCAGCTCCAAACTATCTAGTCACTTATTGATCTCCCCATTTGGATAGCTACTAGGCATCTCAAACTTCCTATATCCAAAATTGAACTCCTCCTCTCTTCCCTATTCATCCACTTACTTCTGCCCCAAACATGTCCCATTTGCACCCATCTTCCCACCGGTTCATGGCTTTTCTGTTCTCCAGGTGCTCAGTCACCCACTGCCCCTACCACCATGCGACTAGAAGTGCCATCAGAAGCAGAAAAACTGGCTTGTCTCTTCCTCCTACACTCCTCCTCCCACCATGCTTTCCATTGGCAGATTTTACGTGAAAGCCAGCTGGCAAGAGAGCCTAGGAATAATGGTCTGCAAGCTTCCAGACTCATGGTACACAGAGGAGAGTTTAGAAGCCTGAGAGTGGAGCTGAGCATCTGTGGACGCTATCTGCCACAGCCTACTAACTCATCTCCCTGCTTCCCCCTTATCCCCTTGATTATTCTCACCATTGCACCCAGAGGCACTTTTTAAAAATGAAAATTAGATGTCACTCCTCTGCTAGAATAGAGAAAAATAAAACAAACCCTATTTGCTCTCTGTTTCACTGAATAAAAGCCAAAACGCTCACAGATGGCTACAAATAGAATGTGATCTAACCTCTGTGGTCTTTCTGACTTAGCCCTGTAGCAGCTAACCTGGCCTCCTGCTCCTGGGACACCTGTCCGCTCCCTTTTGCCCTTGGCACTGGTTGTTCTAAAAGCCTAAAACACTCTTTCCCCACGTGGTCACCCTCACCACTGTCTTTTCTGAGTTGTTACTTTTCTAATGAAATTTTATTTTAAATTTTAATTTTAATTTTAAATCCCATCCCCAGCATTTCTAGTACCCATGCAATATTGTGATTCAGAAGAAATACATATTTTGGTCACTCAGTTGACTAGATGTGTTTGGTCTTTGTCCATAGTTCTTCACTCACTGCTCCTAAAACTCTTGGAATTTCCTGTGATGACAGCAAATAAGGTGTCCTTTATTATGTTAATGGAGTGACTTTTGGACCCCACCTAAGGGTAGGGGCTGGCTGCCAGAAGAAGGAGTTGTGTGATTTAAAGGGTTTGGAACTTTCAGTTCCACTAACCTCACCCCCAACCTAGAACCGGAGAGGGGCTACAGGATGAATTAGCCAATAGTTGATGAGTTCATCAATTGGGCCGATACAGCAAAGCTTCCATAAAAGTCCAAAAGGACAGAGTTTGGAGAGCTTCCAGGTTGGTGAACACTTGCAGATCCAGGGAGAGTGGTGTGCCTAGAGAGGTCAGGAAAGTTCTGTGCCCTTTCCATATCCTTCACCCTCTACATCTCTTCATCTGGTTGTTGATTCATCTCCTTTATCATATCCTTTAATGAACTGGTAAACAGAGGTGTTTCCCTGAGTCCAGTGAGTTGCTTTAGCAAATTAAAGGAACCTAAGGAGGAGATCATTGGAACCACCAATCTATAGCTGGTTGCCTAGACTCGCAGGTAACAGCCTGGGGCTTGTGCCTGGTCTCTGAAGTGGGGAGGTGGGATTGGGGAATGAGGCAGTCCTACAATACTGAACCCTTAACCTGTGGAATCTGATGCTATCTCCTAGTAAATAGTATCAGGGGGCGCCTGGGTGGCGCAGTCGGTTAAGGGTCCGACTTCAGCCAGGTCACGATCTCGCGGTCCGGGAGTTCGAGCCCCGCGTCAGGCTCTGGGCTGATGGCTCGGAGCCTGGAGCCTGTTTCCGATTCTGTGTCTCCCTCTCTCTCTGCCCCTCCCCCGTTCATGCTCTGTCTCTCTTTGTCCCAAAAATAAATAATAAAAACGTTGAAAAAAAAAAATAGTATCAGAATTGAGTTGACACCAGCAGGGTGTCCAAGAATTGCTTAGTGTTTTGTTGGGGGGAATCGCCCCCTACACTGGAAGGAAGTCCTAAAACTCTAAAAGAACCCCCTTCTCTGATTTCTTTGCTGTTGGTCGTGTTTTTAACACAACACTTATCACTTACTAGCCACAGAATAATTTACGTTTAGTTTTTCATGTTTTTTAAAAAAATTATCTCTCCCTGCATAAAAAGATAAACCCCACAAAAGCATGAATCTTTGTCCAATGACATTTCATAGGCCTAGGCCAGTGTTGTAAAAGTAATGAAATCAGTTCCCCACATGCTTGCCCCAATGGACATCAAGTCAAGGCTATTAACCAGGCAGTTGGTTTGTGCCGAGAATAGAACACCTGCAGGACACTCTTTCATGACTTTTCTTGTTTATTCTTAACAGTTAAACTTGACTTTCATGCCTTCTCAAATAAATAACTTTGTAGGAGGAAAAATAGAAAATGGATATTACAAGGAAATGGTAGGATAGCTGCACAGTAACAAAAACCCAGTCAAACCGGCCGAAGCCGAAAGGTGATTTATTGGCTGCATAAGTGGAAAATCCAGGAACCGACATGGAAATGGCGTGACTGGATCCATATACTCTAGGTGGAACACCAAGAATCAGTCTCTCTTTTTCCACATGACTTTTGTGTTGACCTTATTCTCAGGCACGGACTCCCTAACTGCTGTCAAACCAGGCCATCAGCTGCAATAGTTTCCTTCCTGCTCATGAGGACCACAGTGGAGAAAGCGGCTCTTTCCTAATGCTTCCAAAAAATTTATCTGACTGACTCTCGTTGGCCTGGATGAATCCCTGTCCTTCTTGAACCAATCGCTCGGCCTGCAGTTGCCCTGGTTTAAGTCATATCCTGTTCCCCAAGCCAGGGGCTGGGGTGAACCCACTCAAATCAGACGAGAATGATGGATAAGTGGTTTCACAATGACAAGTCAAGAACTTTTACCAAAATAAGGAAGAAGGGACACTGAGCTGGCATTACAACTGATGTCTACTATATTATGAAATACCCAGAGTTCTGAGAAAAAGTGAACAGAGTGTTGAGAGTGAAGTGATAGGAAATGAGGATGAGAAATTAGATTGAAGTCTAATTGGAAATAGCTTTTTCCCCCCCCTCCTTTTTTTAAAATTAGAAAAGCATGTGGTCTCAGAAGATCTGAGTTCTCGTCTCAAATCTTTCTGGAACTATCTATGTGATCTTCCAAGTAACTTAATATCTATATAAATGCATCCTCAACTACAAAATGTAATTCATCTAAAGTAATCTCTGCGTTTCCCACCAGCTCTGTCAACTGATGATTCCAGCGGGGCAAGGGAGGTGTTGCGGCCAGCTAGTGTACCTACCATAGACGTCCTTGCTATCACAGAAGGGAAAGAAGAGGCAAGCACCTGTTCCCTTTCCCTTGCCACCAGCTAGAGACACTGTTTCATACCCACATCTAGTTCAGGAGAGCATTCTGACAGATGTGAAAATTAATCCAGGCGGAGAGAACTGGGTTCTTGCTAGTGCTTCCCAAACCTGGCCATGCTTCAGCACTACCTAGAGAACTCAAAAAACAATAGAGACCCAGGTCCATGCCTATGGTACTGACCTAGGCTCATGAATTTGTATTTTTAGAATTCCCCTTGTTTTTGCTTCCTCCTACTCTTCAGTCTCGGATATGGCAGTTTTCTTTCGGTCAAGATTACCAAATACTAATCAAAAACCTTATATATCTACACGCGAAGAGAGATCTTGATTTGGAAGATGTATCCGCAAAACATCGTCAGTTTTGCTTGACAGTAAAATATGGGAGGAAAGAGGAAACACCGCATTCACTAACACACTTGAGTGTTTTATGCAGAAGAGATGCATTTCGTTTGACAAGAATTACGGTTTTCATAATATATACAAGATGCATTCTCTTTATTCTGCCAGTTTCAGAGAACTAGTCATAACTTTTCAATTTTCACATAACATCCAAGTCATAATAAGAATGAAGGCATCCTTCACAAAGCTTCAGTCACTGATTGTTTTCAATAAATCTCCAGAAGTGATGGCAAAATCAATTATATCCAGCACATCTTCCACTTTTTGTGATGAATTTTTGAATAGTTCATGACACTACATCTCATCAAATTCTTAAGTTTACGGATCAATAAGCTGATTTTGTCCTAATTTTTCTCAGAGCACTTTTCTTAGATTAGTTTAGCCAATATTTGAATGTTTTCAAGTCCACCATGGAGATGTGACAAAATTAGCCACAAAAGACGCCTGAATTCTGAGGAAATAATAGCTCAGTGCAGACGTGTTTACCTTCAATAGTGTTGTCATTCTGACTTCCTTGTCTGTGCGAACATATGCTCTGGGTTTGTCAAGAAATAGTTAAGTTCGGCGTGATGCAGGTTCCTGGGACTAAAGGAAGGGAGTGCTGAGAAAGCCGAAGCGCGATGTAAATACAGTATTTCCTTTCCACAAACCTAAGAAAACAACCAAGCAGCAGACGTGCATGGGCGCGCAAGCGCACACACCCGCACCTCCCCCATCCCCCCCCACCCCCCATCTCCCACCCCCACCCCCACACACGCTACATTTAGGATCTGTATGTAAGGTGTCCTGAGAAAAGTTTAAACAAACAGTTGTTTCGGGTTCAGTGGGAATAATCTCCAAACATCAAATAAATTCTGACTTTGCTATAAGAACTTGAAAACAATCAACTCCGCCTTTACCCTAGACAATAAAGGTGACATTTCATTCTTTAATAAGGTAATCTCCTTGCCAGGGCTATTTTGGAACAGAAAGAATTAATATTTGAGTCACCAATTTGTTCAATCATTAATGTATCAAATATTTACTTGACCTCTTCTGTGTCTAGAGGAATCACTTGGTACCAGGGAGATTTTTAGTATCTTCTCATGTAAACCATGACTGATACTACAATAGTTGTTTGAGTACATTTCCTGAGACCACGGAGTTGTCACAGCCCTCCAAATCAGAGGAGGGCTCAGAAGCACCTCAGGGTCCCTCCAGCCCAGATGAATCACCTATCAGGACCCACGATAGAGATGCACCTCTTTCCCATGTTGGTAGAGCGCATGCCCAGCGCTGCCCTCATCCTAATTCTGAGAATAGAGAGGCAAGTCAGACTCAGACCCTACCTGCTGGAGCTCCCATACCAATGAGGGAACTGAGTGTGTAAGATATACCATGCGTGACAGAAGCTCTGATCCTTGCAGGTGCACAGGGCTAGAGCACAGGGCAGGCAGCCAGCTCCATCTCTCAGACAGGAGAGGCGTTGACAGAGATGTAAAAAAAGCAGGCAAGAAAGACCAGGTGTACGTGGCAGAGAGAAACATGGGT